TGAATCCATTGAAACAATGTTCTCAAGATTCAAGATTATGGTAGCTGGTCTCAAGGTACTGGACAAAGGATACTTTACTGCTGATCACGTCAAGAAGATCATCAGAAGCTTACCTAAGCAGTGGAGGCCAATGGTTACAGCTCTGAAGCTAGCAAAAGATCTCAACAAAATTTCACTGGAGGAACTTATCAGCTCCCTCAGAAGTCATGAGATAGAGCTAGAAGCTGATGAACCCCAGAAGCAAGGTAAGCCTTTAGCATTAAAATCTAACAAAAAATCTGAGTCTAAAGTTTTGCAGGCAGTTGAAGAAACATCTGATGGATCCTCATCAGAAGAAGACGAAATTTCTCTGCTCTCCAGAAGAGTGAATCAACTGTGGAAGCAAAGGCAAAGGAAGTTCAGGAATCCCAGAAGATCTGATCAGAACGAGTCTTCTTCCAGATACAGAAGCGCAGATTCTTCCTCTGGATACAGAAGATCTGAAGGCTCCTCAGGAAGCAGAAAGCCAAACACCAAGGACATCATCTGCTATGAGTGCAATGAGCAAGGACACTACAAGAGTGACTGCCCAAAGCTTCAGAGGGAAAAGCCCAAAAAGAAGTTTGGAAGAGAAAAGAAGAAAAGTCTCATGGCCACATGGGATGACTCTGACTCGTCTGAAGCTGACTCAGAATCAGATGATGAGAGAGCAAACATAGCTCTCATGGCCAACATTTCAGAAGATAGTGAAGCTTCTGAATCAGACTCAGAATCAGATACTGAAGAGGTATTTCCTGACTTTGCAGTTAATTTTACCAAGGCTGAACTTGCTGAAAGCCTTAACGAAATTTTGGAAAGGTACCAGCAGATTAGAGTTAAATTCAGAAACCTGAAAAGGAATCTTGAATCTGACTCTAATAAAACTGAGAGTCTGAAATTGGAAAATTCTGAGCTAAGAAATAAAATTTCAAAATTAGAAAATACTTTACAAAACTCTCAGAAGGAACCAATTTCTGAAACTCCCAGCAGTGCTGATGAGATCATCAAGGAGTATGATCACAGTTTCTAGAAGTTCCTTGCTAAAAGCATAGATAGAAGCAAAATGGCTTCAATGATCTATGGAGTTAGCAGAAACGGCAGGAAGGGAATAGGATACCAAGGTAAGGTTCCTACACCAAAGAATGTCATGGATTTAACCATTAAACACACTCCTCTTAACTCACATTTTGTGTATGGTCACACACATGATATTAAATACACTAGCAGTAAGTATTCTGTGAAACCAAAATTCAACCAGAGTTTTGGTAAATCTAACAAATCAGGACCCAAGAAAATCTGGGTACCTAAGGATAAAATAATACATGTTGCAGATATCTTTAGCAGCGAATCAGAAACACCAGTCATGGTACCTAGACTCTGGCTGCTTGCGACACATGACGGGAAGAAGGCATATGTTCCAAAGCCTGGAACTTAAGCCTGGAGGCCACATTGGCCTTGGAGGCAATCAGAGGGGAAAGATCATTGGCTCTGGAACTGTAGGTAATGGAAATCTTCCCTCTATAAATAATGTTCTGCTAGTAGATGGATTAATGCATAATCTGTTATCCATAAGTCAATTAAGTGATAACGGTTATGATATAATCTTTAATCAAAAATCATGTAAAGCTGTTAGTCAGAAAGATGGGACTATCCTATTTAATGGAAAGAGGAAAAACAACATTTACAAAATCAAACTTTCTGAACTGAAAAGTCAGAATGTAAAGTGTCTTCTGTCTGTTAACAATGAGCAGTGGATCTGGCACAGAAGATTGGGGCATGTTAGTATGAGAAGAATATCTCAGATTAACAAACTCAATCTGGTCAGAGGACTTCCTAATTTGAAGTTCAATTCAGATGCTCTGTGTGAAGCATGTCAGAAAGGAAAGTTTGCAAAACCTTCTTTCAAATATAAAAATGTTGTTTCTACCTCTAAGCCATTAGAACTTCTGCATATTGACTTATTTGGACCAGTTAAAACTGCTTCAGTCAGTGGCAAGAAGTATGGGTTAGTAATCGTAGATGACTATAGCAGATGGACATGGGTAAAGTTCTTAAGACACAAGGACGAGTCACACTCTGTGTTTGTTACCTTCTGTAACCAAGTTCAGAATGAAAAGGATCTTAGAATCGTTAAAGTCAGAAGTGATCATGGTGGAGAGTTTGAAAACAAAGATTTTGATTCATTCTTTAATGACAAAGGAATTCTGCATGATTTCTCTTGTCCTAGAACTCCCCAACAAAATGGAGTTGTAGAACGAAAGAACAGAACATTGCAAGAAATGGCCAGAACCATGATCAATGAGACAAACGTTGCTAAGATCTTCTGGGCAGAGGCAATAAACACAGCGTGCTACATTCAGAATAGAATCTCAATAAGACCTATTCTGGAAAAGACTCCATATGAATTGTGGAAGAACAGAAAGCCCAACATTTCATATTTTCATCCTTTTGGATGTACTTGCTTTATGTTAAATACAAAAAATTATTTGAACAAGTTTGACTCTAAAGCACAGAAGTGTATTATGTTAGGATACTCTGAACGCTCAAGAGGGTACAGAGTATACAATACAGAAACACAAATTGTGGAAGAATCAATCGGTGTTCATTTTGATGATAAGCTTGACTCTGAAAAATCAAAGCAGAATGAAGTTTTTGCAGGTATGGAAATTGAATTTACAGGTTCTGAAGACAAGTCATCAGAAGCTCTCAACACAGACACTCCTTCAACATCTGAAAGGAGCACTGCTAGCAATCCTACAACAGCTGCTGATCAACCTCAGAAGCGATTACCCAGAAGCAGCTTGGATCATCCAGAAGAAACTATCTTAGGAAGAAAGGAAGATCCAATCAGAACAAGAGCAAGCTTCAGAAACTCTGAAGAATCCCTCATGGGACTTGTGTCTCTGATTGAACCTGCTTCTATTGATGAAGCACTTCTGGACAACGACTGGATTCTAGCAATGCAAGAAGAGCTGAATCAATTCACCAGAAATGACGTATGGGATCTGGTTCCCAGACCAAAAGGATTCAATGTCATTGGAACAAGATGGGTGTTCAGAAACAAGCTAAATGAATAAGGTGAAGTCATCAGAAACAAGGCACGACTGGTAGCACAAGGTTATAGTCAGCAAGAGGGGATAGACTATACAGAAACCTTTGCTCCAGTCGCCAGGTTAGAATCTATCAGACTTTTAATTTCATTTGTTGTCAATAGAGGCATCACCCTGTATCAGATGGATGTCAAGAGTGCATTCTTAAATGGTTATATAGAAGAAGAGGTTTATGTGCACCAACCCCCTAGTTTTGAAAATACAAAACATCCAGAACATGTTTTCAAACTAAAGAAGTCACTATATGGTCTGAAACAAGCCCCCAGAGCTTGGTATGAAAGACTAAGTAACTTCCTGTTAAAAAATGAATTCACCAGAGGGAAGGTGGACACTACCTTATTCTGTAAGTCAGTTAAGAATGACATCTTAGTCTGTCAAATTTATGTTGATGATATTATTTTTGGATCTACTAATCCTTCTCTTGGAAGAAAATTTGCTAAGTGTATGCAGGCAGAATTTGAGATGAGCCTCATGGGGGAACTGAAATTCTTTCTAGGAATTCAGATCAATCAAACTCCAGAGGGAACTTACATTCATCAGAGCAAATATGTCAAAGATCTTCTGAAGAAATTTGACCTCTCAGAATGTAAGCCATCAAAGATTCCAATGCATCCCACGTGCATTCTGGAAAGAGAAGAGGTAAGCAAAAAGGTAGAACAGAAGGTCTACAGAGGTATGATTGGTTCTCTCCTTTATCTGACTGCTTTAAGGCCTGATATCTTATTCAGCGTATGTATTTGTGCTAGATTCCAATCAGATCCTAGAGAATCTCACTTAACAGTTGTTAAGCGAATTTTCAAGTATCTGAAAGGTACTACTAATCTGGGTTTATTTTATAGAAAATCTAGTGATTACAGCTTAGTAGGCTACTGCGATGCTGAACTTGCTGGAGACAGAGTAGAGCGTAAAAGTACTTCTGGAAGCTGCCAGTTTCTGGGAGAAAATCTGATCTCTTGGTCCAGCAAAAGGCAATCCACAATTGCGCTATCAACAGCAGAAGCTGAGTACATAGCAGCAGTAGGATGTAGCACACAAATGCTCTGGATGAAAAGTCAGCTTGAAGACTTCCAGATTTTTGAGAGTAACATCCCTATACTCTGTGACAATACTTCTGCTATTTGCTTAAGTAAGAATCCCATTTTACATTCTAGAGCTAAGCATATAGAAATAAAACATCACTTCATTAGGGACTACATTCATAAAGGAATTTTGAACTTAAATTTTATTGATACAGACCATCAATGGGCTGATATCTTCACTAAACCCCTTTCCGAAGATAGGTTCAATTTCATTCTGAAACATCTCAGCATGAAAATCTGCCCATAGTGAAAATGCTTTAATTCTATATATTTATCTTCAGAATGTATTTGTTTTACTATGAACTTCTGATCAATCTCTTTTCAGAAAGATAGAACATGCAGATTGTATCAGATGTTATTCTTAAAGTTCTGAGCGTTTCAGCTAAAGGATAGACGTGCTGCTCACCAAATCAAACAAGTGTCATCCAATCATCAGCAAATCTATGAAGAAGAACGCGTGCACGCTTATGAGAAGGCAAAACGCTGATTGGGTGCATTGAGACACATGTCTGGTAACCGTTTCAAGTATCTTTCTCAAATCCCCCAAAATCAGCAAGCATTAAATGAAAGTAATCATGTTTTAAAACGTAATCATGATTTTATTTCTCTTTCTTGAAACCGTTTACACTTTCAAAAATTATTTTTGAAATCTATTTAAACTCATTAACATCTCACATTAATCTTTTACCGTTTCTTTCAATCTCACAAATATTTTCTGCATTTTCCTTGTGTGTTCATCTCTCTCAAAAGAAACCCATTTTTCAGTTTTCTCAGAAAAACCCTAAGTGTGAACATGGCAACCTCCAGCAATGCTTCTGCAGGTTCTCAGAAGAAGGCTTCTTCTGAACAGTACCAAGTTCCCTTCAGAACACTCCTTACACCAGTGAAGAATTTGGAAGTGCTGTCTGAACTGATTATTGACTTCTCCAGTCTGAAAGAAAATGGTTTTGACTTGACAGAAGAAGTTAGGGCACAGGGATGGGAGAGATATTTTGATAGGTTGGTTGGACCAACGTTCCCAGTCTTGGTCAAGGAGTTCTGGATTCATGTGTCCTCATCAACGCATCAAGTCACCTCCTACATAACGGGAAAGAAGATTGTGATCACTGAGGATCACATAGCAAGATTGATTGGATACAGTGGCGGTGGTGTCCGCTGTATCGATATGGCTGAAAGATGCTCTGACGTTGGTGTCATTGCAGAGCAGATTTTCACCCATGGGGTTCCCAGCAGCAAGATCAGAGACTTAAAGGATCACCACAGAGTATGGGCGAAGATCATTCTGGGGTGCTTTAATCACAGGAAGCCAACAAGCTCCCCTGATTATATAAATATAGATCAGCAGTTTCTGATCTATTTTATTAATCAAAAGGTAAAAATCAACTTGGCTCATCTTTTGTTTAATCACTTCAGAACCAGCGTCAAGGAGACAAGGGAAGAAGAAAGGACAAAGAGGGATTGGATACCCTTTGGCAGGTTAATATCAGATATTCTGACAGAGAATAGGCTGATAGAGCACCTTACAGAAGCTCAGGAATTAAGTTCTATTGAACCAACTGTTGGCAAGCCTCTGAACGCCAAGAATCTGAAGAAAATGAAGCTGATAGAGAATATCAGAAAGGAGCCCATCGTTACTCCTCTTGCTAACATCACCAGAAGAAGAGTCCCTCTGGACGACTTTCCATTATTTTCTGAGATAGAATCTAAACCAGTGGTGGTTCTCAGATACTTGGACGCTTGCAAGGCTGATGGTACAGATCCCAAACTGAATATCAAAGATCTGCACCAACAACAACCAGAAGTTTCTCTGAAGAAGACGAAGAAAAGAAAGGCCACTTCAGAAGGACCATCCCAGCAGACTCCCAAGAAAAGAGGTAATTTATCTGCTGCTTCTGTTTTAAATTCTTCTGCTATTCCAACATCAATCCCCACTCCAGCTTCACATGAAATTCCAATCCCCATACCAACTATTGATGAAACCGAACCAGAAGATGACCCTTCTGAGTCACTGACTCTCAGGAGACCCCGCACCAAACATCCAAAACCCACAACATCAACAGCATCAGAACTTGACAAAGTTCTGTCTGACATTGATCAACGTGTTTCTGATCACCTCTCAACAAATCCAAACACTGAACCAGAGATTGCCCACTCTCCTCAACCAGAACAACCTCTCTCACCCATACCAGAAGAACCACAACTTCCACAACAACCAGAAATTCAACCAGAAATTCCACCTCCTTCTCCACAACCAGCAACTCCTCCTCACCATCCTCAACCAGAAATTCATCCACCATCACCTCCTCAACCTGAGTTTCATCACTTTGAAACTCCATCACCTGAACCTCATTCTCCTCAATCCTCTGAGCCACAACCCTTGGCAATTCAGCTTCCATGTGGAACAACTGTAACCATGGCCCAGCTGCCATCCTCGCCAGAAACTACCCCTCCAAATACTCCAAAAACTCCAAAAAGTCCAATTATTATTTCTGACTCTCCCACTCCATCTCCCAAACAAACCAAAGAATCTCAAAAATTTTGAAAATAAAATAGAAATCCTTGACCGTCTTGCTGATCTCAAAAATAAAATAGCCATTCCCAAACCAAAACAGCCAGATGTTGGCTCTGGCATTGTGAATTTTGAAACAGGTTTGCAGCAATGGATTTCTTCTCTAAAGCAAGTCTGTCTTGGAATGATTGATCCTGCTGCCTCAGACCAACTCTGGACACGTTTCAGAATATGGGTACATGCTGAAGCCCTTAAATTGCAAGACACCAATTATGAGCAGGCACAACAGAACTTCAGCAAGCTGCTGAAGGAAGTTGAAAGTCAGCTGCCACAGGAAGACGTGCTCCTTCTGAATAGTGAGCCATGGTCTGAGAAGCGTCCAGCTTCAAAAGTGCAGCCAGAAGAAGATCATACTATTCAAGCTGAAGAGTTCAGTCAAGCTGAAGATGTTGCAGAAAGCTCTCAGAAGCTTCCTGCTTCTGATGTTTCTCAAGCTGCCTTGGACAAGCAGACTCTGGAAGAGCTAAAGCTGAATGATATGCGTCTGCAGCAAAGAATGGATGAAAGTGATCAGAAGATGAAGGAAAGGATGGATGTGCAAGACAACAAGATAGATACAGTAGTCAGCATGGTGCACAAGCAGACTGAGACTGCTGATCAGATTAAGGCAATGCTAGAGACTTTGTTCACACGCTTCCCACCCCAACCTTAGTTTTTCATTCATGATATTTTCAATGTTTTCTTTGCATAATCATCTGTACTGTTTTGTCTGGCTCTGAATTTTTAATATAACAAGTTTTTCTGCTCTGATCGTTTTAGCACATCACTTACACTTTTTGATTGCTAACAAAAAGGGGGAGAACAAGAATGATATTTTTCATAACGGATTACTGAGACAAAAAGTCTCAAACATTCTAACTCTGATATACTTGAATATGTTTTCTATTTTTGCATAAGTCTACAGGTACAAGAAGGTAATCACCTTTGATACACTGAAGCTCTGAAGCTCTGAAGTTCTGACAGTCAAAGCTCTGATATTCTGATCTGAAGCTCTAATATTCTGATGTTCAAAAATCAATAAAGATCTGATCCTGAAGACTCTCGGAATTAAAAAGGGAAGTAATAAATTCAGGGGGAGTATCTCTGATATCTCTTTATCCCTTATCTTTGATAACTTCTTATTTAATTCTGATGCAACTTATCATTTAGTTATCTCTGATACTTTTCACGCTAATTTTCAATTAAAAATATCTAGTTTTTGTCATCATCAAAAAGGGGGAGATTGTTAGAACAAAGTTTGAATCTACTACCCTAAGTTTAAGTTTTGATGATAACAAAATGAAAAGATATATTAATTATGTGATTCATGTAAGAACTATTTGCTACCTAAAAATTACTTTCTGTTTTACAGAAACTCTGATGGGTATCAGCAAGAGTACATCATAATCAGCATCAGAAAATTAGATATCAACATCAGCATCAGAAGATGCTATATCAGATACCAGAATCATAAGAACAACTCACGCGTATGCTAAAGCTTGATGAACAGATCTGCGCTCAACACTCTGAACTCTGATAAAGACAACAACAGTTCATCAGCACTTAAGCAGCGTCAGAATGAGCCAAAGCCAGAACACGCTTAAAGTGGCAACGGTACTGTGCATTCAAGATGAGTTATTACCAACGGCATCATTCCAGACAAGATCTGCTTAATAAGGAAATATTGTTATTGGCATTGAATCAGAATTATTGCTCCAACGTTCACCAATTCCAATGCTATATAAACAAGTCAATGAAGATTGAATTGGCTAATGCTCTACATCAATCTACACGCCTAAAAGCTATTCATCATCTTCCTCACTCTCAGTTTGCTAAAAGCTCCAAAATTCCTTACTCAATTATTTTAGCAATCTAGTTTCCATAAGCTTAATTTGTGTAGTATCACAGTTGTGATAAACAGTTTTGTAGAAAACATTCACACACATAGATTTCAATTCTTTGTAAGAAAGTGATTCCTTGAGAAACCGGTTTGTGGTTTGCATCAAGAAGGCTTTAGCAGTTGTTAAAGAAGATTGTAATATACAGTTGAATATAGTGGATTAAGACCTCGTTGGAGAGAGGCGGAATCACCTTGATGGGTGGACTGGAGTAGTTTGAGATCAAACGAACCAGGATAAAAATATTGTGTTCATTGCAATTGATTTCCAGTTTTTACAATTCAACCCCCCTTCTTGTGTTTTTCACTTCTTCACCCGGTGCCTAACAAAGATGGCAAGGTACGAATGTGTGTGAACTACAGAGATTTGAACAGGGCAAGCCCCAAGGATGACTTTCCGCTCCCCCACATTGACGTTCTGGTTGACAACACTGCGCATCACAAGATCTTTTCCTTCATGGACGGTTTCTATGGTTACAATTAGATCAAGATGGCACCCGAAGAAATGGAGAAGACAACCTTTGTCATACAATGGGGCCCTTTCTGTTACAAAGTGATGCCATTTGGGTTGAAGAACGTCGGGGCAACCTATCAGCGAGCCATGGTAGCTTTATTCCATGACATGATTCACCATGATATAGAGGTATATGTTTATGACATGATAGCCAGGTCTCAAACTGAAGAAGAGCACCTTGATCATCTACAAAAGTTGTTTGATAGGTTGAAGACGTACCAGCTGAGGTTAAATCCGAACAAGTGCACCTTTAGAGTAAGGTCTGGTAAACTCCTAGGTTTCATTGTCAATGACAAAGGTATTCAGGTAGACCCTGCATAAGTGAATTCTATACAAGAGATGTCGTCTCCTTGCACTGAGAAGGAGGTCAGAGGCTTCTTAGGACGCCTAAATTACATTTTCAGGTTCATTTTCCATTTAACTGCTACTTTTGAGCCAATCTTCAAACTCCTGAAGAAATATCAAGTGGTAAAGTGAACGACGAATGCCAGCCCGCCTTCGAGAGAATCAAGGAATACCTTCAAGAGCCTCCAATTTGGATGCATCCTATTGAAAGAATACCTTTGATAATGTACTTAACAGTGTTAGATAATTCAATGGGGTGTGTGCTGGGGCAGCATGACGAGTCCGGTCGAAAAGAGCAGGCAATATACTACCTTAGAAAAAAGTTTACCGACTGTGAGACAAGATACTCACTGCTCGAGAAAACTTTTTGCACTTTGGGAAGGGTTGCTCGCCGACTGAGACAGTGTATGTTGACTCACACCACTTTGTTGATATCTAAGATGGATCCGATCAAGTACATCTTCGAGAAACCCGCTCTCTTCGGTAGAATAGAAAGAGGGAAACTAATCTTGACCGAATACGACATTTAATACATGACCCAGAAAGCAATCAAGGGAAGTGTACTAGCTGATCATTTGGCTCATCAGGCTGTGGATGACTACCAGTCCATGAATTTTGAGTTCACGGATGAGAACATTATGCTAGTGACTGACTGTGAAGAACCTGGACCAGATGAAGGACCTGAGGAAGGATCCCGATGGACCATGGTTTTTATGGAGCCTCCAATGCACTCGGCAATGGCATCGGTGTTGTAATCATATCCCCCGAGGGCTGTCATACTCCTTTCACGGCCAGATTATGTTTCAATTGTACCAACAACATGGCGGAGTATGAAGCATGCATAATGGGTCTCAAAGCTGCTATTGATCTAAGGATCAAGTTCTTGAGCGATTTCAGTGATTCATCCTTACTAATAAGTCAAATCAAAGGGGAGTGGGACACGAAGCACCCGAATCTCATCCCTTATAAAGAACATGTGTTGACATTACTTCCACACTTTGAAGAGGTCACCTTTGAACATTTTCCACGAGAAGATAATCAGTTAGCGGACGCGCAAGCCACCATGTCGTCTATGTTTAAGGTCAAGTGGGACAACGAAGCTCCTCGGATCACCATTAAGAGGTTGGATGAATCGACATATTACTATGAGATTGACACTGAAGAAGTAGCAGACAAACATTGGTTTCATGAAGTGAAGAGGTATCTCGAGGCTCAAGAGTATCCTGAGGGGGCATCTGTAAATGATAAGAAGTTTCTGAGAAGGTTCGCCATAAAGTTCTTCCTCAGTAATGAAATCCTCTATAAGAGCAACCATGACTCTACTTTACTTTGGTGCATAGACAAGAGCGAAGCGGAGAGGATTATGGAAGATTTACATGAAGGTACCTTTGGCACCCACTCTAGTGGACACACCATGGCTAAAAAGATCCTACGGGCAGGATACTATTGGTCCACTATGGAAGCAGACTATTATCAGCATTCTTGAACTTATCACAAATGCCAGATCTATGTTGATAAAGTACATGTACCTCCAGTTCCCTTGAACGTCTTGATGGCTCCCTGGCCCTTTGCAATGCATGGAATTAACATGATCGGAGAGATTAGACCTATCGGCTCCAATGGGCATCGCTTCATCCTAGTGGCCATTGATTACTTCACGAAGTGGGTCGAGGCTGCCTCTTTTGCTACTGTTACCAAGAATGTTGTGGCGAAGTTTATCAAGCATAACTTGATTTGTCAATATAGTGTGCCAGAGAGAATCATTACAGACAATGGTACAAATCTCAACAAAACAATGATCACCGAACTCTGTACACAATTTAAGATCTAGCATCATAATTCTTCCCCTTACCGGCCGAAGATGAATGGAACTGTAGAGGCTGCTAACAAGAATATCAAGAAAATCATACAGAAGATGACAGTGACATACAAAGACTGGCATGAGATGTTACCATTTTCTCTTCATGGTTACCGCACCTCAACACGTACGTCAACAGGGGAAACACCTTATTCACTCGTGTACAGTATGGAGGTTGTCCTACCTATTGAAGTCCATATCCTTTCTTTAAGGATCATGAAGGATGCGGGCTTGAAAGAAGATGATTGGATCTAGACTCGGCTTGATCAACTGAATCTGATTGATGAGAAAAGGCTTGCTGTTGTATGTCATGGTCAGATAAACCAAAAATGGATGATCAGGGCTTTCAACAAAAAGGTCAGACGCCAAGTGTATCAAGTGGGTGATCTGGTAATCAAGCGCACCATACTGCCGCAAGGTGATCCCAGGGGCAAATGGACTCCCACATACGAAGGGCTATTTGTGATTAAAAGCATATTTTCTGGTGGAGCCATAATTCTGGCCACCATGGATGGTGACGACCTTCCTCACCCTATTAATACGGACGTAGTGAAAAGATACTACGGGTAAATAAGGACCCGCTAGGTTGACTGGCCTAAGCAAAAATAAGGGCATCCCGGAAAACCAAAAGGGTTCGGGCAAAAATTAGGGATACATACAAAAATTTGTACACCCGACAAGTTGAAAACCTAAAAAGGCAGCTTGGGCAAAAAAGGGTATCCCGGTGGAATGAAAACCCGAAAGAGCGGTCCAGGAAAAAGTTAGGTATTGAAAGCGTACAACTATGTCCCATTGGATCACCTTGCGATCAGACTTCAGTACCAAAGCTCAAATGGTACCTATCAATCAAGTCAGCTTCGGACAAGTAGAAAAGTGATGAGACGCTCAAAGACATAGGGGCAATAGCAGAATTGAAACTCAATGGGATTACTACACATAGCTGTTTTCTCTTTGTACACTATTTTGTATAGTTTTCACTTGCAAGGCGGTGTTCTCTTACTAGAGCATCAGTCTCTTTGTACAAAATGCCGGTTATAGGCGAACTTCAAAAAATCAATA